GCATTCCTTTCTTCACTTCAGCCATGGCTGCTAGTTCTGCTGTGCAGTTGCTGACAGTAATCTGTCTCGAGGTAACCAAGGAGGATAAGGAGACGTTCAAAATCAAATCTGGAAAGCGTCTTGTGATTCTCTGAAGACGTTTCATCAGTGCGCGGGATGAAAGCAGAAATTGCAGAACGAGAAAAGTTCAGCACAGTTCAAATCTGACGAGTCAGGGACACTCTCTTTCGTTCGACGACGCCACAAGGATCCCCTGTTTGGCTGGCCACTGCTGCCAGTAAGACGTTTGAACGGTTTCATCAGAGCGAGGGATGAAAGCAGAGAGCGGAGAAAGAGAAAAGTTCAGCACACTTCCAATCTGACGAGTCAGATACACTGACACTCTCTTTCGTTCGTCGCCACAAGGATACCCCTGTTTGACTGGACAAGAGCTGCCTGTACCACCGTGTCAAAAGGCTGTCCAACTACATGGCAGGACGATGACTGAGGTAAGGAAGCTTTTACTGGTTTCGATTGGTCTGCTGTTCTGTCGTTATGCTTGAATTTTTTTCCATTTTCAAGGAGCGTATCGCGTTTGTTTGATGTTGCTTGAATGAATGCCCTAAAAGTAATCAACCACTTCGTAATAGTCCTCAAGGACTGCAACTGTGCAAGGACTTTGCATCAATCGTATACGATCGTCTAGCTATGATCAATTATTATTTTATTTCATGAGAAATGTATTTTTATCCCTGTGATAATTATGTGAACTCCACGACACTCTTCCTCTAGTATGATGTCAAATACAATGGGATCCACAAACGCAGTGCCAGTGTACTAGTAGGAGGAGGAGGATTGCTTGTATGCCAATGACAAGAAAAAGCTTCTCAAGCTAATACTCGTATTCCCTGAAGTAACCGTTTTGATGTCAGGAACATGACATTGTGTCAGTGAAACTGCCTCGTGACAACAAATCATTGCATTTCCATCTTGGGGGAAGACTGACTGACGGCAACGCTGTACAGATTGTTCAAATCATTTCATTTCAATTTAGTTGCAGTGAAGTGAAACACTGTGTACACTACATGTATGTTGGCGTGCCTGTGCGTCTTGAGTGTGCACAAACGATCTTATTCCTCGTATTACTAATAGATTATTGTCCCCACCGTCACCTGTTCACAGGTCTTTGAGTGGATGGATTTTCATTGAGCATCACATTCCTTGAGAACTTGGTAGTTGTGTGCTCCCATGCATCATTACGGTAATAAGCGTATCCTTGTGCTATCTATTTGTTGCAGGTGTGCTGAAGCTTGGGGAACTGAGTACTGCTGAACATTTGCATGGCCATGAGCAATGGTGAAGCTTGCTATTGCACTCTCAGCATGTGCTAGTATTATGCTGACCACTGCACTATGTTACTCTCTTACACTACTACGTGTATGTAAACGTGTGTGTACCCGTCCCCGTATGCCTTCGTTTCGTATAATTATTTGTTATCCCTCTTGACTTTACGTGTAAATGGGTGGACGTTTGCATGGCTGTTGGACTTGCGTGTGTATTGTGTCTCTACTCTTTTCTTGGTGTTTTCTTGGCGTTGTATAAGTTTGTGTGTGTGTGTATGTGTGTGTGTGTGTGTGTGTGTGTGTGTGTGTGTGTGTGTGTGTGTGTGTGTGTGTGTGTGTGTGTGTGTGTGTGTGCGAGCGCACAATAATTTGAAAACAAATAATTAATCCTGGGCTCTCCATTATTCTCTTTCGATTCTTGTTTTTTTTTCTAGGTATTTTCTTGGCGTTGTGTGTGTGCGTGCACAATAATTCGGCAACACTACTTGATTGAGATATTGTAATTTGCAGCGTCTTCGAAGAGACCACTTGATTTGAGGATGGTGTTTGTAGGGTTTTTCATGTAATGAAGTGGCTGCAGTGGCGCCTCAATACTTATTTTTTATCTTGAGAAGTGAATGATGTAAAGGATTAAAGGGAGAGGCCGTTTTCTGGTTAATATTCACTGCTTACAGCAGATCCTATGTCTAATTTCGAACTCGATAGGGGATGCCTAATTGGCTGGACTATATACAGGGAGTGTTGTCCACATAAAGACTCTTTAAAGTTGATTTCAAAGTTTGGACTCCGTACAGTTGATTTTGGACCAATGGACTCTATATAGGGGTGAAGCCAATTGGCTGGACTCTATACAGGGAGTGATGTCCATCTAAACTTTGAGCTCACAGTTGATTCCAAGTCTGGACTCTGTACAGTGGATTTTGGACCAATGGACTCTATATAGGGGTTGGACATCATATAGGGGCTGGACGCTCTACTGAATCCAACATATATGTGTACAGTACATACATGTATACAAGCACCGTATATAAAGAGATTAGTTGAAGTGTCCCATTAGAACGGTTTCTATCATTTTAGGGTTTTTCAGTGGAATTGTCAGGGCGATGATGACGTCCGATCAGATCGACCATATATCCACGTACTACGTAACGTACCGATTCCAAACTCTTCGAAACTAATCCACCTCTCCCATCGGATGAGGTTGTGGAATTTCGAGGAGTTTCGAGGAGCTCCATTTTTCTGAAGAGGCCACCTCTTCAGAAAAACGGAACTCCTCGAAAAGTCAAAGAGTGACAATTCGAACGCGCCCTGAGCCCCTGACTCACGCTGCTATCTTGTGTTCACGAAGTGTTTGTCGCACTGGAAACGCATCGCCTCTGCAATAGCCTACTCTGCAAGTGTAAGTCTGTATCCCTGGTGATGTTTGTGCCCGCAGAGCACTATTATAAATACAGTAATAGTTTTATCTAGTTGTGTGCACGGGTAGTCGGGTACCCGTCTACCCGTGAGGACCTCGGGTAGACGGGTACCGAATAGTACCCGAAAACCCGAAGTCGCAGATGACATCATGTACAATGCACGTGTACAAATAATTCACGCATAGCGCATGTCTACCCAGTGCGAAAGGGAAGGGGCCGGTGTGCCTTGTGGTCTTACCATGGAAACATTACCCGATCGGGTACCCGTGCTACCCGTGCAAAACTACCCGGACCCGATACCCGAAGAAAATGCTACCCGACTCAGCCCTAGTTTTATCACCTTTAGAACTTTTGTCACCTTCAAATTTCTTTGGGTATGCCACTGTGTTTTCTATGTTGAAAGTGCGCCGCTTTACCTTGTAAATATACTCATATCAACTATTCATTCGTTATCTACCTCCACTGAAGAAATCCTTTTAATGAGCGAAACAGCTGTCCGGAGGATATGGAACATCTATCCAAGAACGAACTTCCTCGCCATGGTGTGGTGTGGTGAATGTGGGCCAAGAGCACAGTGTGGAGAGGTGGACGGGTTAAGATTATTTTCAAATGGCTGAGTTTGTCGCTACTTCTGAATTATTTAGTCGTGTTCTCAGTGGTCAGAGAGTCGTGAACACGGGATGAAGCTACAGATTGCACACAGTCATGTCCTGTGCAGCATGCCGTCCATGGTGCACAGACATAATAATATTAAGACATGATAATTATGTGTAACTAAAATTAATTACTTTCTTTTCACGCCTCCATTTTTATATACTGTACATGCATGGTCCACCCTGGCATGCTCTGGTCTGGTATGGTGACATCCTGTATGACCATGCAGTGACAATCCACGTCTTGAGCTTGTAAGTATTTGGGCTACTTCCAAGTGCGTTCACGGCTAGCTTTGTGCAACCTCCGGCGCCATTACTGGCAGTTCTTTAGTTTCGATCAAGAGTGCATAAACCCAGGTCACTGGTGTTATGTCACAATGTACTCTTGTTTCAAACAGACCTAGCTAAGCTGTACAGAATCAGATTAATAATAATAATAATACTCAATCTGCGGACAGCATGCTGTTTCGTTCTTTTTGAACTCATCAGCGCAGCACAGAGAAAATGAGGCCGAACCTGATAGCAATGGAAATAAAAATTTCCAATCAGGCCCGAACGTACCTTGCCAGAGTGCTCAAACTGACAAGTCAGTGAGCTCTGCATAACGCAAACAGCAAAGGCACTACCCCACGCAAGAGTGCTCAACTGCTACAAGAGCAGGAGCGAAATACTCAATCTGCGGACAGCATGCTGTTTCGTTCTTTTTGAACTCATCAGTAATAATAATAATAATAATAATAATGTCTTTGCTCATGGAGTCTTGCTCAGTAGAAAAGTCACACATGCATGCATGGTCTCCCTGCCGCAAATACAGTGCTGGCAACTGAAATCCGACCCCCTGAGCGGTGGGTTCAGTCTCTGCTTCGTAGTTTTACCATCCCGTGTTGGGTCTTTGCGATGTGAGCGCGCCGCTGAGGGGGTCGGATTTCAGTTGGCAGCACTGTACATTCCCCCAGTTCAGATTCACAATTGCATGAGTTTTTAAATTTCGGGCATGACTCACCTTCAGGGTAAAAGAAAGAAAAAAAAACTTTTCCTGTGTAGCCCAGATGGTGGGCCATGCAACGTTTTCAGCAGATCTCGATACCCTGGTTGACTGTTTGTGAAAATGTAATGTAATGTCTGTTACCATGGTTACTACTGCATGTACAGTAAATGTAATGTAATGTCTGCTACTGTCAACTTCGCTAATAACGACTGCGGATATAACGTCAATTCGCAAATAGCGACAGAATTTCCATGCCCAGAGCAAAGTCCCATCCCACTGTAATACATAATAATGAGACTTCGGGTATAACGACACTCGGGAATAAGGACACATTTTTGATGCCCCGCCGAGTGTCGTTATAAGCCAAGTTGACTGTACTGCTACACGTGCAGTAAATGTAAGGATGAATGGGATCATTATAAGTATTCACAAACTGCAATGTAGCAAATTGAGTTTGTGAATACTTACAAGCGTCCGTAGTAGCCTTGGCAACTACGCGTTGGCATGGAACCCATGCGGGAACCGCTGCTAACCACTACAACCGGCCTTTAAGGACACATAAAAAATCTGTATGCATGGCCTCCAACATCAACGGAGTAAGTAGTTGGATCAGAGACCTGGTAAGTACCAGGATCTTGGAAACCACTCTTCAAAATAGACGTGTTGAAATACGGAAAGAACGAAGAGCTGAGTAAACTGACCCAGACTAGCGTCAACAACGTGCAAACTCACAAAGAGTGCCTCCTTGCATAGCAAATGCGCCGTCAGCTCTATAACTATGGCAGCAAATCTAGCGGGGGGGGGGGGGGGGGGGGGAGGAGGGGAGGAGGAAGAACCAACTAACAGTAAGCAGGACTTTGCTGGTGAAATGAGCAGATTTACAAAAGGCAGCAGGCGGCAAAAAAAACCGTGATAAACATGAAGGACTTTGAGTCGGCAAAGATTGCAATGCTTCTAAAAAACTCGTCAACGACATGACTAGGCGAAGCAAAGACGGGGCAAGGTCATGTAGCGCAAGAAGCAGCAGAGAACTAGCGAGCATACACAATCATATAAAAAGTATGCACGAGTATACACAAGGATAGCCATTAGCATTGGAAAAGCGTACAATACTGGAAACACCCATCAGACGGAAGAGCTTAAAGCAGATCTACATTGCTTGGCTTCACCGTATGGATAGGCACACCATTGCATATATACACAAAAACTCCAACACAAACACACATTCACACAGATGCATTCACACACTCACACACACACACACACAAACACACACACACACACACAGACACACACACAGACACACACACATACACACACACACACACACACACACACACACACACACACACACACCAGGGATGCGATGTGTGTTTTAAAGAGAAACGAGTGCGGCAGCTTTAGTACCAGGTACCACGGAGAACATTCATCATTGCGCTCATGTTGCGACCGTGCAAATGATAAAAGAGCAGCACTTGAGCAGGAAACTGCCAGTCATTTGTAACGAAATGGCAGTCACATGTGACAGGAAAATCATGACACTGGCTTGGGCAGAAGGACAATTTGCTATACAAAACATTCAGGATGTGTGGCGAGGCAAAAAAAAACATAGAAATGTATTGACATTGTGTATCACTTGCGCAAGTGTTGTAACCACTTTGAGGCGCAAACACGGTCTTGAGACTAGAGCCGGAATTGACGAAAAGGTGCGTCCCTGTGTCAGAAGCAAACAAATGAGTATCAAAGAGTGAAGTTCAGTCTATCACAATAATTATACATGATAATATGCTAAGACTATCACGCTGGTGTGTGAAGGTGCCTAAGCTAAATAGGCCCGAGCCATAGCAAGGTAGACACACTGAAAATGGTCAGGAGCTGCCAAAGGGACATGGCTCCAATTTCAGTAAGGGTGACAATGGTGAAATACCACAGTCGAATTCAAGGCCCTTGATGAAATACGGTCTCTTAAATCAAGTTTGCGGCCGGCACCAGTTCACATCCCAATGTTTGCAAGTCTAGGCTGCACGGCGCCCGGAGTGGCATTCACTCACTTCATCGGATTTCATTGAGCAGCACTGTCCTTGTAAAATTTCAAACAAAAGGTTGGTGATATTCAAAACAAGCGGGTAGTGTGAGTTTACTTGATATGCCAGGTATGAAGCATAGAAAATCACTTTCATTTTAATGTTAATGTTGCATTCAGTGTATGGTCTTGTGTTTGTTTGTGTGTGTTAGTGTGTGTGTGTGCAGGCGACTCCTCTGCCGCCGCGTGTGCGGCTCGCCCTCTCATGCTGCAAGGCTCACTGTGAGGCCTGTGGTCGGTGCTGCCGCTCTACTCGTGGATTCCAAATCCATAGCTGCCGAAGATGGCTCTCTCGTCGTGCCGATTGAACATGGTCCCTGATCTCTCGGCAGCCTGCCGACTTTCTGCCGTCGCGCGTCGTTTCCATGTTGTCGGCCTCGCGAGAGGACACGTGACCGTATACCAGGACCAGGTGTGGGGGGGGGGACGTGTGTGTGTGTGTGTGCGTGTGTGTGTGCGTGGGTGTGTGTGTGTGTGCGTGTCTGTGTGCATATGTGTGTATGTGTATGTGTATGTGTGTGTATGTGTGTATGTGTGTATGTGTGTGTGTGTGTGTGTGTGTGTGTCTACATGGCTGCAGACAGATGGAACTCTCTTCCACCTGAATGTCGCCAGGCAGGAATTCTTTGCAACAGTTGTTAGCAGCTTACTTGATCACCTAAGCTAGGGTACTCTGTAACTTGACAATAAGTCAGTGGTGTCTGCGCTAGTAAAAAATGAATGCTAATACTACAATCCATGGGATTGCGTATGCTTGATCATCTTTTGTGCATGCCTTGATGCATGACATGTGATGTGATAGTAAAACGCATCGCGCCTGGGTTTCGAATTTTAATCACCACCAGCACCAGCACCAGCACCAGCACGGGATGAGTTTGTATGGATGTGTGTACCTGCACTACAAGTAACAAACATTCACCTTCAGACACGATCGCACTCCGCTAGTAGGCTGTTCATCTGCTCCAGCCGTCCCGCATACTGACCGATGGCTCGGATCATCCTGCACAGCGCGATGTAACCTTGTCTCTCCTTGTCCATGATGATGCCAAGCAGCTCACAGTTATGCTCCCTGTTGCTCTGGTACCGATCTGTGCGTATCAGCTTGTCGATGTTGTGGCCCGTGAGCAAACCTTGCGTCTGCGCTGCTTCACGGATGTCATCCGCGGGGATGCTCTGCAGCCACACGTGAATGTCTGGCATGAAGGACGGGTGGTTGAACGGATTGTCCAGGAACGCATCTGTACGTAATAAGAGTCATAGATACAATGCTGCTGCATTGGACATCCTTCAATAGGTACATTGCAATCCCAAAGAACATCAAAGAAGAAAGAAGCATTAACAAAATACTGCGGCCAGCGATGATCCCTGAGGCAGTCACAAAGAGCCAATATGTTCACAACCTGAAATATATAGATGAGCAGTGAAGATGGACAATGGCCACTTAACCCTTTGTGTACGGACTATACAACTTTCGATCCCCTGGGATCGAAACTTTTCAAAATTTCAATCGATCGGAACTCAATCATTCCTGGGTTATTTCCAAAATCTAAAATATGTACGTCGAAGAGAAAATTCTCAGCTGTCCATTAAACACCACCAAAGTTGAACACATTGCAGTAAAAGTATAGCAACAACGTACCTGTGTGGGACAAAATGGAGAGCATTTCCTTGCTCTTGTCCACATACCCAAGTTCCTCAATGACAACACCGAGATCACGATAAGTCTTTAGGCCACCAGCTCTGAGCAACTCGATGAGCTCCTCATTATGATCAGATACTCCATCCAGGGACCGAATTCTCTTTAGTCTCTCTATTGATGTGCTGTCAGTTATGAGATGTTTCTTGACCACCATCCGTCGCAGTAGATCTGCGTCAACTTTGTTCAACCATGGTTGAATGTCACACACAAACCTCTCCAGGTCAAACGGATTGCCTGTTGCGAAAGCAGCAAAATACAGAAGGCACAGATGACACATGAACACACAACTACACACAACTACATGTCAAGAAACAAAAAAATGAAATTGTACAACACCGATAATACATGGAAAGGAATTTGAGTGGACACACCCATTCCAAGAGCGCTGCACATCCGAACAAGTTCCGTTATTTTACGTTTCGGCACTTGGCCATCATTAGGTGATAAGAACAATGGACACACACACACACACACACACACACACACGCACACGCACACACACACACACGCACATGCACACACACACACACACACACACACACACACACACACACACACACATTCCCAGAACCGCACATCGGCGCGCTTCAGCGATTGTTTCAATGGACAGCTGGGAGTTTTCTCCTCGACCTACAGATCTTAGTTTTTGAATATAACTGAGTTACGATCGATTGAAATCTTGAAAAGTTTCGATCCCAGGGGATCGAAAGTTGTACAGTCCGTACACAAAGGGTTAATCAACAAGAGTACAAGAGTGTCTAAGCATACCCAACCCTTACAAACTGGGGGAAAAAATAAAATTAATAGAGAAGGACGGAGAGAAAGAGAAATTGAGAGAGAAAGAAGTATACACATAGAGATAGTCATGCATGCATAGAAAGATAGATAGACAGACAGAAAGACAAACAGATAGACAGGGAGGGGTAGCCCTTTCCCAAAGATGCCATAATTTTTCGCAACTTACGCTTTTCGCAACAATGCCTAAACAAGTGTGAGTTGCTGAAATCGCATCCATATTTTCAGAAAAAGCTCAAAGGTTGCTAACATTGCAACTTAAAATTGGAGAGTTCTTGTGGAAAACCACTAGAAATGGAGCAGAGATAGCAGAAGTGCAGCGACAGCAAACTCTACACCCTTCTTACTGTGAACCACCACTTTACACAGTGCCAGTGACCTGTTGCATGTATCCTATATCAATCATTCCAGTGCACGGAAAAGAGAATGCACATATCGTAACTTCTGCTGATCTACTGTTTCTCTGAAATGAAACGAGCGAGTATACATTTGTCCGACATACCTTTGGACCCCATGCCAAGGGGCCAAGGTTGCGGAAAAGTTGCAAAGTAGTTCGCGAAAATGAAGAAAGTTGCGAAAGTTGCAATTTCTTCAAAAACAACGAAAAGTTGAGAAAACGGTGGCGAGCATCTTTGGGAAAGGGCTAGAGAGGGGGAAGGTGAGAAAGAGAGAGAGAGAGAGAGAGAGAGAGAGAGAGAGAGAATAGTGAGCGAAAGAGACAGCATTAAAGAATACCAACAGAAGGCAGTGGGAACAGTTCCCAGGAGTCCTAGGAATAGGGTACTTGTTACAACACAGATAGCTGAACAATGAGGTCAGTGATGAATGATCTTAACCAAATCATACAAAACTCACCAGATGACGCCGAACACTGCATGCCAGAACTCACCCCAACATCTATAGACAATACAGCATACAAAACAAACACATACGCACACAGAAAGCAGATCGACAGACGGACACACATACACACAATACTACTTTTATCCATCTGATATGTCAGGAACAAACACGTGGGCATAAAGCCTTTTCACTCATGGATATATAATCCTTCTATTTATAGCATCAGCCACGATGTTGCCCAAACAACAGCCCTTGCAAAACAGTAGTGATGCCCTACGTTACGGGAATACGACGCGAAGAATTCCTGGAACTCTCTTCGCGGTCCGGTAACGTAAAGGACATACAGGTCAAGCCTCCCGGTTTTCGCGGGAAAATCTCGGAGAAACATCAATACTCCCGGGGTCCCGGGGATTTCAAGCAAACTCCAGGAAAAGTCGCATTTTTGCCTGACCCAGGTTTTTCCTGAAAGCTCCAGCGACTCGCCTCCAATATCCCGTTTTTCCAAATAATATTAAAACCAGTATGCACGGTGCATTCTCGCAGTTCGAACTCTGCACAGTACCTTCACATACCTGACAAGCCTAGCCTGCATGATCTGCACCGACAGGCGCGCTAGGCACCCGCCGACTGATCGAACTGCAATGCAAGGTGGAACTGTGCTGTACGCGGAGTCCAGAATCATGTGCCGTTGAACGTTTTTTGGGCGGGAAAAGCACTTTTTCACGTGTTTTATGCCATCCAAGCGTTTTGAGAGAATTCCAGGGATTCTGCATGTCTTATCAAGGGATTGGGATGTTTGTGGTCGGTCGGTTTGAAAGAAAACCTGTTCTGCTCTACGTTCACGGAGAGAAATCACGTTGAATGTGTACTAGGAATTTCCCCGTCCATATTTGGCAGTTTTCTGCCTGTATTTGAATGATATCCAGCAGATCCATGTGAATTTTCTTCACGTGTGCCTCAATGTAGAGAACGTCATCAGCGTAGAAATCTTGACCCAAAACACGCGAAGCCGTAGACTCTAACCCAAACACCTGCTTTCCACGTGATTTTTCTACGTTTCTTGTGAAGCAGAACCTCTCTGATACCAAACATGAGCACTTTATATTTTAGTGTCCATCAAACCTTCGACTCGGCAAACCTACAAGAAAGCACGGCTCCCTACTCCCTACTCTATACACAGTGTTTCGGGGAACTCACCCCTCGTCATGTCACGAGTCAGTTGAGCTTGAGTAGGCTGAGTGAGATTGTGCCCGAGGAGCATCACCTGATCACTTATGTATTGCTCTCCTGGCCCGAACATCACCAGGGATACAAAACGTACAGAGACGCTCCGTTTGCAGCACGACAAACACCCCGTGAACAACAGATAGCAGCATGAGTCAGTTTCGCTCCTGGACGGTGACAACAGACGTCGAGGACCCTCGGGCATTCACAATGCCTGTCACCTCCAAACCAGCTGGGCACAATGGACCGAGTCCCCAGGCTTGTCAATCGTGATCTTGATGTTTTTATGCCGAGCAAAGGTCCGATTAAACTCTTGGTAAATATTAAAACACAGGTCGCAAGCCTCTGTCTACGGGAACTAGCATTTTCCTTTACAAAGCGAATATTGGCATTCCGAGAAAAAGTAATAAATTTATGAAATAGATATCATATCTTACCGGCCGCATGAGTATGATGAGGAGGTATTTTGCACTGTGAGTACCGAGGACAGTGTTTCACCGCCCTGTAGACAGTGTTTGCAGCCGGTAGTTCTGGTAGCACATCGTCCACCAGGCTCAGCACCACACTGTCAGGTAGGTCGCAAATGCCCTGGCGGAACATGTCGGCTGCATCACTCGTGCGATGTTCATTCATGACATCATCCTTGAAGGCTTCCCCCAACTGTCCTCTCTGGTTCAGCCTCAGCGAGCACTCTACCAGAGGGAAGGCTTGGGTAAGCAAGATACAGTGCTGATAGAGAGCAAAGCAAAGACGAGAGGCTCGACGACGTTCTTCAATCGTACCTTCAGCACAAGAAAGCAGACATGCAAGTAAAAATATACACCATGCAGTATAAGTTTGTTTAGAAAGTTATGGTCAGTCCATGGCTTGATTAGCACAGAATTTGGGTATGTATCACAACGTACTACAGTGCATAGACGTATACTAAACACACGCATATGCACACATGTGCATGCATGTATACACACCCAAACGCACACCCACCCTCACACACACACACACACACACACACACACACACACCACGCACACCACGCACACCACACACACCACACGTACACACAAACACACACACACACACACACACACTTGTACGTGTTGCTCACTGCCAAAACTGGTCATGTGGGTGTCCCCGAGAGAGGGGAGAGAGACTCAAAAGGAATCTTGGAAAGATGACTCAATTGGCTATTGAACCGCCCAACGGCCGACACCCCCTGAAATCCCCAAACTATGGGTGGACTTGGGAAATGCTCACACTTATGGGCTCACCACACGTCAGTAAGTGGGTGAGGAAAGGGTGCAGAAAAAGGATTGACGGCATCAAGGTATCCGTCCTGGGATCCAACTGCAGTTACCCCTGCCCCCAGTGAAGGTAATACTTGCTACTAGTGTGGGTGGCTGAATCAGAGTGGATCTGATATAATCTTCACTAGCACCATCGATTACACAAGAGTTAATCTAGCCAGAAGCAATCCATGGTCAGCAGGTATGTATACTTCAAAGAGAAAGTACATGTACCCTGAAACCAACAAAGGTGGTAGGTACAACATTACACCGTCAAGCAGCCGAGCCTGTTGGCAACAGATCCAACACTATCTGGCATAAATGTACCCACCAACAGAACTAGCTGGCACACACACACATGCACACACACACACACACACACACACACACACACACACACACACACACACACACACACACACACACACATACACACACACACACACACACACAAGTTGACTTCTATCTCACACATACACACACACATACACACACATACACACACATACACACACATACACACACATACACACACACACATACACACACACATACACAGACACACACATACACACACATACACACACACATATACACACACACATACACACACACATACATTCACACACATACACACACATACACACATGCACGCACGCACAAACACACCCACCCATGATAAACATTGCAAACTTACTGGCATTCTGGCAATCAGCTGAGTCAGCATACTCGTGTGTCAAGCGTGGGTCTTTGCGACGTTGATCAGCACCAACATCCTTCGCAGCAGGAGGAAAGAGATGCGTGGCACGGATGTGGTCGCTAGCAAGAAATGCCATCACGGCATTCAGATCTCCTTGCTGGTCTAGCTTCTGAAGATGCTTACTGCTACTTAGCTGCTCATCATCTTCAAACACCTGGTCGACTCTAGAGCCGGGTGACAAATGCTGTGGCAGCTTCAAGATGTGATGCCAGACCTTCTCCTGGAAGCGCGCGACGTCTTGCTGGTTGTAGCCACGTGTCACGACGTTGAGTGCCAGCTGTCCGGCGGGGATCTCTACCAGCGTGTCGACCTGTGGATAGCGATTCATGACGACACGTATGCCACCTTGCCAAACTGGGCATCTATCTCCGCTCTCACAGAGCTTGGTCAGGATGGAGTGCTGGATGGCTGGCATCAAGGCTGCACTTATGGCAATCCCGGATCTGCAGTGCAGGCGGCGACCGGTGTAGTAGCGGTGAATCTTCTCATCGGCAACTGGCCAGTGGGCAGCTGTGCGGCTCTCTGCCTGGGCTGGCAGTATCATCACCTCATTGCCGTGATCCGTTAGATGACACATTCCCAGCTGCTGCGCAATCTCAAGCACCTGATCCCCGGTTAACTTTACCGGAGAGTTGGTACAGTTGCCCAGAACCTGCTCGACATTGCTGCGCTTCGCAAAGCCAAACTCATTACAAGTGATGAACGATGATCGTTGATAGGTGGGTGTGTAAAGTTTGCTGGTGATGTCACTCATCAGCCAGGTTGGTTCCAGCACCACAAGTTGCACCTGGGCAAAAAAGAAAAGACACACACATACACTCAAATAAATAGGTACCCATAGGACAAACAGACACTCACACACACTCATACACACACATACGCGCACACACATACACACACACACACCGAGACACACGAAGACAGACATACAGAGAGACAGACAGAGAGACAGACAGAAAGACAGACAGACAGATAGAGTGACAGACACAGAAACAAAGAAAACAGATTCGGAGCCACAAATTCATCTGTCACTTCTTTGTAGGTACACGTTTCAATTCTGTGCACCTTATAAACGTGCAGGCAGGCACAGTGGGTTGGTCTAAGACCATGATTGAGAAACGAGAGGTACCAGGTTCAAGTCCTGCTTGGAAGCGGAAGGATTCTTTCCAACCGTGCTGCGACCCACACACTTTCCAACCGTGCTGCGACCCACAGTTAATTGGGAACTCGTGGCCTGGCATGAGTAAAGCCTAGTTCACATTCGACGGGGCGCGACGGGCTGCGACGTAAGGATCGACGGGAAGCGACGGGACGGTCTGACGGCGTCCAATGTGAACACCAGGAACGGGAACGAAACCGTACTACCGTACAGATCAGGAAGCGACGGGAAGAGTTGGATCGATCCAACTTTTCATACCGTACACGGGCGTAGACGGGGACGCAAGCATACAAAACGGCTGCAATTCGAGTGTGAACAGGAGACGGCGTCGTACGCCGACTACTCCCGATTCGTACTTGGAAATTTTTAGCATTTCGAACACTGCGCTTCCCATGATAACTCACAGAATGGCTAGCACGACTTGAGTTGAATTTTAGCAGCATAAGAACTCATGTCACTTATTGTATTTAGGGATAGTTCAGAAGCGTGACAGACGAACTATTCTATCATTTCCTGGGGCTATTGTTTGAATTCCACAACTTTCAGGGCTAATTTTTTGGTCTTCATGAAAAACTGGTACTGTGAACTTGATTCCGCTTCTTTCAAGGAGAAATAGTTGAAAAGAAGTCCCGAAAAAAGAGAAATTAGGTTCGAAAGTTACCCCGTCACGGACCGTGCCTTATGACTCACGCCGTTCGACGTTGAACGTCGCAACGACTGCTGCATGTCGTGTCATACGAATTGTACAGGATTTTACAGCTCACCCCAGCTCTCCCGACAAGCCCTTACGTCCCGTACCGTCGGCGTTGCGTCGAATATGAACTAGGCTAAAAACATGGATGTGGCAAATGGGATTTAGGCTTTTGGCCTATGGTTGGTGGATCTGATCTATCCTCCCCCACCGTTTACGAGCCGCATCTGACGCCTGATCATGGGGTGGTAGCGTCCCACGGAAGTGGAAAGGTGGTTCTTGACCAGGGAGTTGTACGACTCCTTGTTCTTGACCTACCCGGTACGCGAACTCGTCGAATTTTTTATTTTATTTTATAAACTCGAAACTCGGGTATTGAGCCAATAATAAAAGTAGAAAGGAAAAGGACATATGGAAACGAGTTAAGAGTAACTCTCCACCACTGTAACTAGATACTATATACAGACTATATACCTTCCAAGTTGGAAGGCTGTCGGTTAGCGCTACGGAGATGTGTTGAAGCTAGGTGTCAGGACGTCGAATGTCTCAGTACTCTGTCAGTTTTGTGCCTAGTTGTTGCACTTTCTGACTGTATATAGTATCTAGTTACAGTGGTGGAGAGTTACTCTTAACTCGTTTCCATATGTCCTTTTCCTTTCTACTTTTATAAACTCACGCATATTTTGCTTAGCACACACACACACTTGAACCCTCCACAGATTATGTGACCTATATAATGTGTTTTACATTGATATCATTTTTCCTGTCCACTTTTGCACTCGCTGCACTGTGCATATTGCTACGTGGTACGTTTTCTGCTACCCACTTGACATGTGGGCAGCAGAAAACGTACCACCTAAATTAGTATTCCTGCTGATGCTGTACACACGGCACCCTCACGACACATGCTGCTACACACACATGCTCACATACATTGCAGCTCTCACCTTGTGAATCCCTTCATTTTTTTTGTCACAAAGAAACTGGGCCCGACAATGGATCGCTAGCTGAAGTTTTTTTGTGAAATGCATGGGTTTAGTCTCAACATTAAAAAGTATGGGACTGATTCTCGAGATGATGACACACCAGCAATTGTCAAGCTAGAGAATCAATCACAGACACCAGTTGTAGATAGCTCAGCCACACAACAGGAAAGCAACAGTGCAACTATATAGGTACCGTGCTCCCGAAAATGTCTCAATGTCTACAAGTAGAGTTCGCTTACACAGCAACAGACACTAGCACTCTTTTCGTTCGAGTCCTGGTGGTGACAGTCAATTTTTTCTCCAGACTTTTCCTGTTTGCGTCTTTCCCTCAAACCAGTGAATACTCTTTTTTTAAATGTTTATTATAAAAACATACCAGAGGCCAAGCTAATATTTTCCTTTCTTTACCCGATGTGCACACTCAAGCTGGATTCAAATTTATTTTCATTCCTTGGTGCTCACCGCTTTAACACGCTCCCCGAATCCTTCGCTAGGCATTTCCCAAATCGGCCGGCCGAAACATTCGCCGAAAACAGTGGCTTTGAAGAAATCACCGATCTTTTCGCCGGATATGCAATTTTCCGACTGAATACGCCGAAAATCGATCTTTTAGTGCCTTTATAGCATGCAAATACAATTTCTGTAACCATTATCTGCGAAACGTGACTGCGACTTTAGGCATTTCCGAGATCGGTCAGCAAGAAAAGGACTCGAAATCAATGGCTATCAAGAAATTCCCGATAATTGCACCAAATTTACAAAATTTCGTGATGAAATCGCCAAAAATTGATGTTTCAGTGCCTCAATAACGTGCATGTACATGTACGTGTATACTGGGATAGGTAACTTCAAGTACTGCTTTGAGCCAAATTCTGACTTTGGGGCTTCTATAATATGGCCGAATTCGGACATTCTTTGTCCACCCTGCACTCACTCGTTGCGCACACATCCGCACACTCACTCATACGTGTACACCACTATTGAACACGTGAACATTGCCAGTGGGGGCCACCACAGCACAGCGCCCCAACTTATTGTCTTTGCACACAATTCCGTGGTCATGACTATACAGAACCATTGCCTAGTCTAACAAAAACTCCAGCTACGTACAACCAGAAAACCACGCCAGACCAATATGCATCCGCACACTCTAGAAAAATCAAATCACTAGAATAATCAAAGCGATGATGTATGAAATTGCATGATGATTTCTGGGGTGGGGGGGGGGGGGGGGGGGGTGGGCACTCTCACTCAACTCTCCGCACAAAGACAAAAGAGGCCGACCCTGCATTCGTCACCTCCTTTTATCCCACACCGTGCTCCCTCAAACCCGTTCCTGGGTGGACAGAGAACACTATTTCTCTGCTAATTCTTATACTGTGACGTCAACCACAGAGAAGTGACATTTCACTCAGCCGATCGAAAAGCCGGTTAGGCGAAAAAATCGGGCCAATTTGGGAAAGGCCTACCCTACCCTTCGCAATACTCATATCCCCAATTCATTTCGCCAGGAACTTCACACACTGTTTCATCTTGGGCATCCTGTACGAAGACCTCAGGGCCTGTTCGGAATGCCCAAGTAAAAATAATAAAATACAATATCATGCAGGGTTCTACCCAAAGAAGGGTAGGGGGCACAGCGCTCCCCTTCTCCTATTGACCGCCTGCCTCCCTGTGAAGAAGTGGCGCTCCTTACTCATTTGTCCATTTTGGTGTGTTTGCTGGCCATTCAACGAGAAATGTGGACGATAGTATCAGATGGTTTATAAAGGCACACATATCTGGTGTGAAGTCGGGGTACGTTGCATTTTGGGTGACAAGTCTATTTTGGAAAATGGAAAAAATGGGTTACAGGGTGTTTCCTCAGCCCCCCCCCCCCCCCCCCCTACTATTTTCACCTGCTAGAAACCTGAATAGCAATGAATAAAACTAATTATGAACTCATAACCATGACTTGTGTGAACTAATTATTATTATTATTAAAATGAAAAATGTCCAGGACGTTTTCTCGTGACTATCATCAGTGGAACATCGTCACATAGTGAGAATGACTAAAACATCAAGTTACGTAGCTAGAATAATATGACAAGGAGCGGAAGAATGTAGCAGCTCACGGTGGTTATGAGTGCACAATTAGTTATATTCATTGCTATTTTACGACTGTTGTCTCCTCATTGGTTATTAGAAACCTGCATACAATACAATACATGCGTGCGTGTATGCACGCACAAATACGCACAGATAGACACTACATATATGCACACGCACACATTTACCTCGGCTTTCTGGTGTAGATCATGGAGATCTTGCTCCAGGTCGACCGCAATGGCTACCATTCTTTTCACCAGTTTCCAACCTTCTGCTTCGAACTTTTCACCTAAGATGAGATTGGCCAGCAGTGTATCCTTGAACTTAACGCGGAAGTACTCGACTGCGGACATGGGAGTATCTGGTTCCTGTTGCACGTCACGGCATGTCAAAACAGAATGCACAAATTGGCACAATTTAATAACAAAAAAATCAACAAGCCCTAAATGAAATCCTAAGAGACGGATAGACAGTAACAGCAGTAGAGCCATGTGCAAATAATTCCCCAAATCATATAACTGGTAGTGTAATTAATATCGTGTGCCACAGCAACCGGAATGGGTGCCGTTAGTGCAGCACTCTTAGGACATTAGTATACCTTATGCGCATATTTAATTAAAAAGGCGACGTGGAGACAATTATTTTGAAAACAATGCAATGAATAAAACTATATGCACACTGATATCACAATCGTAGCAACGAATAAAGTGTTTCAGAACGTTTTCTTGTCACAAAAATCAATGGAATTTGTGACTTAAAGGAATGCTGAAACTACAAGAGGATTTATACACTTGGACTTCACTTCGAGATTCACTTCGCAATCACACACACTTGTACCATCCTTCTGTCTGAAACCAGACTGTTCTGCAGGCAGATATTTGTCGAGATGTTTGTATAGAGCTCTGTGCGCCAGTCGTTCCTGAATCTTAGAAGTGACCGATAGAAGGGAGAACCCTGTGTATGTGTGTGTGTGTGTGTCCTTCCAACTTCAAGACGGGACTTCATGGTAGTTTTTATAGCCAATAATGACAGCAGTTCTCATAAATATCAGCTTCGCCGTTTTTCAACACACCAACATTTCACAGATTGGGGTACACCATGCAGTTGAGTATGACTCGGTACTCGAATGAAAACATAGAAATTGCATGAAGGTATGGAAAAGGCGGCGTGGCTTGTGACAGAATACCGTCGACTTATAATCAGGAAAATGAGGTAAAGTCAACTTCGCTAGTAACGACTGCGGATATAACGACAATTCGTGAATAACGACAGAATTTCCATGCCCAGAGCAAAGTCCCATCCCACTGTAATACATAACAATTAGACTTCAGGTATAACGACACTTCGCGAATAAGGACACCTTTTTGATGCCCCGCCGCCGAGTGTCGTTATAAGCGAAGTTGACTGTATATGGCATTTGTACCTTTCCCGAAGCTTGCACGCCACAGGGTTTTCTGGCTGCGTCTCCATCTGGTACTCTGCAAATATTGTCATCGGAGTCAGTTTCAGCCGAAGATGATGAACTTGTTATCCCACCATGGACCGGGATCACGACGGGAACCTGGTGACAGATGATAGTTCACCAGTGCAGATGAAGAATATATAATACGCACACACACACATGCATGCACGCACACACGCACGTTCACACACACACACACACACACACACACACACACACACACACACACACTCAGTATTGTATAGCATCGTACCTGCAGTTCTATATAGATAGTTTGTTGGATCTGTCCGTCTGCCTTTCTTATGCAGAGGCGTTATCATAGCATCTCGCCAGTCACGAGGTATCTGGCCTGCGCAAATTTGTATCCCTGTTCATGGTCTGGCCTGGGGGAAAAAGGCGAGCTCCAGTGGGAGCAAACTGATAGTGGAGTACGTCATTCAGTGGACTCGGTACTTGGACAAACACACAGAAATTACACGACAAAGGCCTGGAAATGGGGGTGCGATGTATAACAGAATACAACTTATAATTGGGGAAATGCGGTACATTACCAAATAGCGGTAGCGACCTCGGCGAAAATTTTAAAAATAAGTTTGGTTTCTCCCACACTGGAGCTCGCGGGGAAGCGCGAGCTCCAGTGTGGGAGCAACCAAACTTCCTTATAAATGCGGTACATGTTCATAATAATAGGTCTACCTTTGCCGAAGCTTGCACGCCGCAAGGTTGGCTGACAGCGTCTCCACCTGTTACTCTGCACACATTGTCATCGGAGTCAGTTTCAGCCGAAGATGATGAACTTGTTATCCCACCTTGGGCGGACATCATAAAGGGAACCTGGTGACAGATAATAGTTCACCAGTGCAGATGAAGAATATTATAATACGCACACGCGCAGCCGCGCGCGCGCACGCACGCACGCAGGCAGGCAGGCACGTACGCACGCACGCCCACGCACACACGCCCACGCACACACGCATGCACGCACGCCCACACATGAAGTGAAAGTAGGGTGCGGTTTGACATTTTTGTGCTCCGAGGATTAGCCTCGAGGTGCGTCTCTCTACAGAACTACCCCTCCCCATTATTGCTTAGAACTAATAGAAGAGACCAACAGTACCAATGGCGACAAACGAAGGCATGGACCTGGCTTTGGTTGGCTACGAGGAGCTCATCAAGATCGGCGAGCAAATGTCTGTGGATAAAGCCTCGAGCCTCTCCCGGCCGGATCTGGTGAGCGAGCTGAGGAAGCGTGGAGTGGGCGTGTTGGCGCAGAGTTCGCTACCCACATCGGAGCTCCAACTTGCAATTGTAAGCCTTACTGACTCAATTAGCTGCATGTCACTGGAAATTGTCTCCTTGAGACAGGATAGAGCCGACAAAATCCTGAGTCTGGAATTAGAAGTGCAACAACTCAGGCGGGAAGTTCAGGGGCTCCAACAACCGGAAATCTGTGTACACCCTCTCGTACAGGAAGCACAGCAAAATTTGGCAATGTCCGGCGGGAAGTTGTACAGCACCGCCGTAGGAGACTTGAATCCCCCACGTGCACGCACCCATATTTCCTCTGGTCCTATGCAGTACACACAGGGTAGTACGGGTTCTAGTACTCACCATATGACCCCCGCTCACACCACCCCCAGCCATTTGTCGCAGCCTGTTTTGTCAATGCATGGCACCAGACCACACCCACCTGAGCAATCCAACCCAGGGTCGAGTGCTGCAGGTGCAGAGTGGTCGGAAGTCACACGCCGTAGGGTTACGTCACGGTACGTGAAACCTCAGCCCCGGGCAGCCGACCCGCGTGTGCTAACAGGGCCTGAACGTACAAAGAAGCTTGTTCTGTACGTTGGAAATGTCAGTCCGGGTTGCAGGGCAGAGTCAATAACAGCGTGGTGCAAGGCCCGCCAAGTTGACGTACTGAACTGTTCGATTTCAGAAAACACGTACCTGGGTACTTGCCATGCTCGCGTAACCGTGGCAGCATCGGACGAGGACAAAGTTCTCGACTCCAAATTCTGGCCGGCCACCATCCAGCACACAGTGCGAAAGTGGCGCTTTGCTGATGCCCAAGGTAACAAGTCGTCTTCTACTTCGCGGCGAGGCAGTGATGATCAATCCTGAACTGTCATGCTAACAAACCAACATACACAACGATGCAGCAACAACGACTAAATCCCAACGCCCCTGTATTCACCCCACGATCGAAACTAGCCCACCGGCTCTACCCCGCTCAGCCCTCCTCTGGCCGACCCGCACACATTGCATGTCCAGCGCTAAATTCATCAGCGTTCCCTTTTTTCCCTAAATCCCAGCGTGATTTAACCCTAGTATCTCTGAATTGTCGCTCTGTTGTCAACAAGTTGTCTGAGCTCTGCGTTATTGCCGAATGTGCTAAGCCTGACATAATCTGCCTAACAGAGACGTGGCTCTGTCCCTCGAACCCGCTCTCACTGTCAGGCTATATCTGCATCCGCAGAGATCGACCTCCGGAAGACAATCGGTCAGCGCATTGTAGCCGTGGGTATGGGGGTGTTGCCGTACTTGTCCGTTCGGACTCCTTTCCGTACGTCTCCCCTCGTGCCGACCTTCAACGCCCTGGCTGCGAGTCTGTGTGGCTTGAACTTGGCTCCCCCTCTACTCAATCTCAGAATCCCATCTTACTATGCTGCATGTATCGACCACCCTCACAGAGCACAATGCAATTGTCGTACTTTTGTGACATGTTTGTTGAGGCATTACAGTCAGTCTGTCTAGATTCTTATGATCTGTTAGTGACTGGCGATTTCAACGCCCACAACTCAAGCTGGTGTCCCACCGATTCTACCTCGAAGGCTGGTGATCTCCTTAGCACAGTATTTTCTGCTCTTGGGCTCCACCAGATGGTTGACTTCCCCACTCATTCCTCGCCTAATGGCTCTGTTTCGTGTCTGGACTTGGTGATCACCAACCGACCACGCCTCGTGCGCTCAATTGATCAAGCACCTCCCTTGGGTATGTCTGACCATATACAGATTGTTTGCACTTTATGTTACGCCCCTATTTCGAACTACTTCCCCAACTCTTCCACTGGTCCTCCCTCTTCACTGTATCGCTTCAAACAAGTACCTTCGCACCTTTGGCAATTAATCAACGCTGATTTAGCTGGCCACAACTGGTCCTCTCTGAACTCGTACACTGATGTTAATGACGCACTTCATCACTTTGATTGTGAGCTCCAGTCCGCCTTCCGTCGTCACCTCACCTCATTCGGAGCCACCCACACTGTGACATCTCCACGACCCCGCATGCAATCTCCACCATGGGTTACTGCTGAGCTCAGGTCTGCTGTAAAACGCAAGCGTGATCTATACAGTGTGTACAAAAAATATCCGACAGCAGTAAATCATGCAGCTTATAACCGACAAAGGAATGCTGTAAAGCACCTGTCTCGGCAAGCACATCGTCAATATATACGCTCCATCCAAGCATCACTAACGTCACCGAATCGACCTACACTCTTTCAGTTTGTGCGAGCACAGCGGCACACTTCCGGCCGTGTCATGCCCCAAACGATGATAGCATCCGACGGTACGGTCGCCACGTCCCCCAAGAGCATAGCTGATGTTCTGAACACTCAGTTCACCTCATTTGGGCTACCTGATGATCCTTCGTGGCGCATTCCCCCTTTGTCCCAGTCGCCTTTCATATCTGTTCCGTTCCGTACAATCACTGTCACTACGTTTCAAGTTCGGAAATATCTGAAGCGCCTGAAATGTGGAAAGTCTCCCGGCTCAGATGGGATCCCGAATGAAGTGCTGCAGTCTCTTGCACCATCAATAGCCTATCCTCTCGCCATTATTTTTAATATGTCATTTCGAACTGGTACATTCCCACAGGATTGGAAATCCGCCATCGTGACACCGCTTTACAAGAATAAAGGCTCCCGTGCTTGCCCGGCAAACTACCGCCCCATCTCTCTGCTGCGCACAGTTTCCAAACTTTGTGAGCGGATTGTATTCGATTCCCTCTACCTGCACATCGCTCCGGCTCTCTCACCAGCTCAGTCGGGATTCTGCCGTGGTGACTCAACTCAATACCAGGTGACTCGACTTGTCCAAGACATAGCGACAAAGAGGAACTGTGGGGAGCATGTGGGAATGGTGTTTTTCGACTTGGCTAAGGCATTCGACACCGTTTGGCATCGTGGCTTACTTGCCAAGTTGGAGGTCACCTTCCGGGTGGAGGATGCTACCTTGCGTTGGATATCCTCGTATCTGTCTGCTCGTTCTCAGGCTGTTCGCTTGTCTTATTTCTTGTCTGATCCCCTCCCTGTAACGTCTGGAGTGCCCCAAGGTTCCATTCTGGGTCCTTTGTTATTCTTGCTTTACGTTAATGACCTACCTTCAGTTGTCCCCGATGTTAGTTTGTATGCGGATGACACTGGCCTTATCTGTTCTGACTCCTCCCCTGCACAATTACTCCTTACCATGCAGCATCGCATCAACAGCACTGTCATGTGGATGCAAACGTGGAAACTCCAGCCCAATTTAGACAAGACAGAAGCCATGTATATTTCTTCATCCCCTCCTGATCAACCATTATACTTCCCTGACTCGACTATGCCTATCCGTGTTGTTACTCAGCACAAACATCTAGGTGTGATGTTTGACTGCAAACTCTCTTGGGCTGCACATGTCAACTGTGTATGCAAGCGAACAAGTTCAGCATTAGGGGTACTACAACCACATTGCACTCATTTGCCCATCCAGTGTAAACTATTATTTTATCAGTGCTATATTCTCCCTATATTCGACTATTGCGATACCGCTTGGTGTGGCCTTTCTGACACAACTCTGAACCAATTAGAAGTCCACCATAGATTTATACTTAAAATTCTTTACAACAAGGATCGATGTTTTCCTTCGGATGCCCTTTATCGACTTGCACACACTTCTCCTCTCTCCGTTCGTCATAAGCACCATCTCTGTACACTGGTTCATAAAATATTTCTTCATAAAACCCCTTCACACATGATGAAGTACAATTGGTTTTCGACAAGCTCAACCCGTAACGCGCTCATCCTGCCTCTTGTTAAGTCAGCCCAGTATCTAAAGTCCCCTTTGTTTTCCGGCTACTCTCATTGGTTATCATTACCATACGGTCTGAAAACTTGTTCTTCTATTGGTCAGTTTAAAGATCTACTATCACAACTGAACTAGACGCAATAATTATCATCGAAGAACATTCTCGAATACCTGGGTGATGCACAAATTTTGATAGCGCTCACTTCCGTTAATCGTTTTTCTTTGTAATTTTCCATTCATTTTCTGCTCTAATTCATATTTGCTTTGTTTTCCTAGCTAACTATTGCCGTGGCTGGCTCAACGCCCTTGTCTCAGGGGATTCTGTCCCTGCATTAGCTATGCTTGTCACATGCTATGAGATTGTGTCTAATAATAATAATAATAACACGCACACACGCACGCACGCACGCACGCACAGTAATGTATAGCATCATATACCTGCAGTTCTAAGTTCTTAACTACATGTAGACATTGCAAAAGGATCTCAGTGGGGGTATTTCTCACTCCCCAGGCACGACTTCCCCTCGAAAAAAATGTAATTGCTCCAGTTGAGGCGCAAGGCGGCACAGTTGTCACAGGCTGAGCTCAGTCGTAGTGGCCTCACAACTCAAACCTGCAGCATGCACGTCTCCAAATCCGCATTACCGATTTGAGGAGAGTAAAGCGGGGTTCACAGAAGCTTTTTTGCGATGCGACGCGGGATGCGACTGCCGCGAAACCGGGAAATCCCCAAATCGCAGCCATCTCGCACCCCACTCACCTGCCGCAACTGGGCCATCGCAGAAGTTAAGCTTGGCTCAACCTTTGCGATGCGACAAGCGATTTGGCGTAAGATTTTGACCTTTTCTACAGCAAAGTTGTACAAAGGTTCAAAATTGCCTATAATTTGTACAAGTTGTACCAAACCGCGCGAATATCATGGTGACGTACCCAAATCAGCAAGACTTTGTCGCATCGCCGACTTTTTCTGTGAATGGTATTTCGCGAGTTCGCATTGCACGCGTCCATCGCAGATCCCGTCGCATCGCGTGTCGCATCGCAAAAAAGCTTCTGTGAATCTCGCTTAAAAGAAATGCACCAAAAAAGAACAGGAAAACTTTGAAACCAACAACAGCAACCCCAGAGCAAAAACAACAATAGCAAAAAAAGTCTACACACCAACTTACCGTGGCAACACACTGATGGCATGTTGGATCACAATCTGACGAGCTGCTTCCATCGTTATTGTCAGCACCGCCATGGTTGCTCACAATGATATCAGCTCCTGTAGCAATGGCCATGTTGCACTGAGATATTCCAGCATGCATTCCACCAGGCAGAGCGCTGACGCAGGATGATGCGTTGCTTGCCCCTGCTGACGCACCACTCCCACGTGTGCCTGATCCACTGGTCGCAGTGTTCGGATCTCGTGCGGGAACTGAGCTTTTTGACCCAGGGCCTGCCTGCTGCTCCTCCGCATTGAGCGTGATGTGGCCAATGGCCGGGCATGATTTGCGACCCATTTGGCAAACCAGCGTGACTTCAAACACTTCCTCATTACAGCCAATGCCATCTGCAGAGCAATTAATGAAAGATATTTATATCACTCCAGTTCTTCGTTGGTCGTCTTTAGTTCAATTTTTCACCCTGAGTGCAGGCAAGAATTTGATGATTAAGTACAGTAAACGTGGTGTAAGCGACCTCTGGTTTTAGCGACCACCTGCTTTTAACGACTGTCTTCCCATGCACGGGCAGTTCTACACAGAAACTGCACCGGACACAGGGACCACCTGCCTTGCGCGACCAGCGCCTAACTGTTAGTGTACCAAATGCCACATTATTGGACCTGCACACAGCGACCATAACTAACCAAAAGTGCCTTCTTGGCTGCCGGGGTTGACTGCAACAGGGTTGAAGTGCGCTCTGAACCAAGTGCATGCAGTGAACAGAAGTGACAAGTGACAGTGCAGTATGCACTGCATGTACTTGAGTGAGGTGTGCTTTGCCCACACGAAAGTATTCTATGCTCCACAAATGTCAATATGATGCCCCTTGTTGCGGTGAATTATCAATGGCTACACGTCGGCGCCTGAAAATGTGTTGAGTTGTGACAGGATCCCGGTTGGCACAGGGTTCGCTAAACACAGGTTTTACTGTAACGGTTCAGACTAGGTATTGTGCAGGTGGCGGCAATGAAAGTTTAATAGCAACAGTCGTGTGGGATACGATAGAGGACGATAAAATTTGAACGCCTAGCAAGTGCCCACCACAGCAAGACAGCAGGGGCGTAACTGGTCCCCCTCCTTTAAGGGGGTGCACGGCCGCACCATGAACATGTATGTGTAGGATGGCTGGTGCATGCCATTCATGGTCATAACGTGCATACTGAACCCGCATGTAGGTTGAAATGTTTAGGGGGGGGGGGGGGGGTGCACGTGCCCCGTGCCCCATGCGAGCTATGCGCCTGAGACAGCGTGTCTTCTTAGTAAGTTCTTACCTTTTGGTATGCTTGGCACTAGTGCTGTGAGAATGTGAGCGTGCCTGGAAAACTCAGCTGCTTGACTCCTCACAGTGCGCCTTGTGGACGTCAGTTGAAAGTAAAGGGTATGACCTTGCGACGCACAGTCTGGGATAAACCCGTCGAAGTGTGCCTCCACATGGAATTGTCGCTGAAAGTCAAGAACACGCAGAAAACACTGAAAACGGTGATGTGTGCAGCATGCGTAAGCTCTCCGGCATCGGGCACTACTGTGTGACATTGCTGTCTCCACAGCCCACACAGAGCCTTACCAAGGGTTTTTTTAGTACAGGGTGTACTCACCGAAAGAAATGTGGCTGCCAGATAAAGGCCAATTAAGTGCTGGTCCCATAGAAACCCTATCCATGTACTGCAAAGACACTATATCATTCTTGGTATATGCCGCTAGGAATGCTATATGCATGCATGAGAGTATCGCCTAGGCACGTGCGCAGTTCGGCCCCATAGCTACGCAGGCAGCAACGGTCTAAGAGGGATTCACAGAAGCATTTTTGCGATGGGATCCGACGGCCGCGAAACCGGGAAATCACCACCTCGCGTCCGTCGCTCAGCTCACGCAAATGTCGCAATTGGATGATTACAGAAGTCGAACGTGGCTCCACTTCCGCACTGCCACCTGCGATGCGATGTGCGATTTGGACCTTCTTTGCACCAAAGTTGTACCGACGGTTCAAGAGTTGCTTGCAGATTTGTAAAAAGCTGTACTTAGCCACGCGGATGCCATGGTGACGTACCAACCTGCAATGAGCTTGAGACACATCAGCAACAGGCGACGTCACATCGGTGACTTCGTCTGTGAATGGTATTTTGCCGGTTTGCATGGCGCTGTGGTGTTGTGGATCGCGTCGATCGTGCATCGCATGGCAAAAAAAGCTCGAGTGAACCCCGCTTTAAAAAGAGATATCATCCGGTACTGCCTTCGTGCAAGCAAAATATTTCATTATTTTTACCATGTCCCATGTGACCACTATACTTGACCCCTCTATATACATCTCTAGAATTTGACTATCACAGTGTACCTGACGTATTTGGGTATAAAGAAGGGTCAGTTCAAAGGTCAAATTCAATGCAGTATAGCAATACTGCGCAGGACAAACGGGGTTTCCCCGTGCAGTATCGAAAATACTGCATACGCTGCGAAATCATGTCATTGTTTGGCTCCATACATGACGAAAATCACGCAGAGAATAGCAAATTAATGGTGATTCACTTCATGGCAGCATCGCCCTTGTACTTACATTGAATCTTTCTTTGCCTGGCGTGAGGGTAACATGCTCTGAAATAGTGAAAGAAGAAAGCACGCAAGCACAATCATGTGCTATCAATGAGACGTAGATTTACATGTACATGTGGGAATAAAAGGATTGTTCTCGGTGATCTCACAAGTGCCAGAATTATTTTAATAGTGAGCCCCTGAGAGAGAAATTGTTGGTACATACAGAACATCCATGGGGGTATCATCCCAGATTGAAACTGTGGTGACTCCATCGCATATGCACTCGGTAAGCAGGAACTCAAGACTACTAACTTACCAATTTCTTCGGGCTTGATGATTCTACCAATGAAACTGCTGACTCCAGCCGAGGTTTGAGAAGCTTCGGCACTCATTGCCTCTGCTTGTGTGGTGGTCGAGACAGGCACTGACAGCAGTGGTCTCTGATTTGGGTGTCCCTTCAGGAGTGTAGCAAGACAAAGACAGAAGAGAACGGGGTTTGCAAAGATAAGATTATATTGCTATCACCCAAGTGATCATGTTATTACTTGTATTGGCACATTTATGGTAGGCCTTGGGACTGTGGGGATGGCCATATCAAAATTTTAATTTATAGAAAAGAAAAGGACCAAGGAACTACAAGTTACGATATAATGTTCACTAACGCCACCAGGTACTAAACAATCAGCTCATGCGATAACATTGCACGACACCGACCGACGGTACTGACGGTCTACAACTAACTGGCCGTCAGCTCTAGTTGTAGAACGTCAGTACCGACGGTCAGTGTCGTGCAATGTTATCACATGACCGGATTGTTTAGTAACTGGTGGTGTTAGTGCACTTTATAGTGTAACTTGTAGTTTCTTGGTCCTTTTTTTTCTATAAATTATATTAATAATAATTACCATACTATCGCATCACACATTAAAATTAATTTTGTTTGCACAAGGATTTCTCGGAAGGACATTTTCAAACAGGAGTACTTTCACAAGTTGTGGCGTCAACACGTATATTACAGCTGAAAAGATACCGTGAAACCGAAAAGATCGGTCTGAATCAGGGCTCGAATACGGACCGCCCTTAAAAAATTAATAGCAATCTACAGAATGCGTGATACGGGGGGGGGGGGGGGGAGCATTCAATAAGCTGATACACTAGTTGAAGTGGTAATGCAAAACAAGAACAAGATGTGCAAAGCACTCACCATTCCATGGAGTAACAGTTCATTCAGCTTCTTCTTGGACTCTGGAGCGGCAGAAGAAGCAAACAAGATGGCAGCCCGGGTGAAACCATTTGAAAATAGAACTACACCGGCACAATCATGAGGTCATAGACATTACAACAGGACATATCCTTCAAGTGACAGAGAGTTCGAACTTCTCCACAACAAACACGAAGGCCCAAGCGAATTGTGTGGAACAGCTTCACTGCTCCATCGAGAGATAGGTAGTGCAAGGGTGCACCAAATACATTCCATTCACAAAAAGACGAGCGCTGGTTCTGGTGGGCACCCGTACAAGTAAGTTATTTGGTGGTTTTTTCGTGATTTTATCGTACACGGTGCAGTGCCGCGAAATTTGAAACTTGAAAAAGGGTCCAAAAGGTACCTCAACCGGTGTTCGAACCTGCACAATGTACCATGGCAAGTGGAGTGAAGTGGCCTGGATTTTCATGCTTTTCCCCAATTCAGTGTTTTTGGGGGGAAACCTGGCCGAAATCCTATTCTTGTTATGGCTTACTTTTTGGAGAAATAGATTTCATGAACATAATTGGAAGAGCATTCCATGGGATTGCAAAGAAATTGTGAAAAGCTCACAATTTAAGAAAGAAAGGGGCGTATGGATACAATTTTAAAAGAGTAACTGTCCACCACTGTAATTATATCATCATGTGACAGTCAGCAAAAACTAGGCATAAAACTGACAGAGTACTGAGACATTCGACGACCCGATACCTAGCTTCAAAACATCTCCGAAGCGCTAACCAAAAGCCTTCCAACTCGGAAGGTTCTAGTCTAAGGTAGACCAAAGAGGGGAAGGTAAGCGCAATGAAAATGAGTACAAGCTGAAGTCCCACGGGAACAACGAATGTCGATTGTTACTGTCACGAACCATACGGCGAAACGTACGTTGTGTGAAACTATTGTTTTGTAGTCATCTAGTTCATCACATTGTCATGCATGAGAAGTACTGTAAGAGTTCAGCGTTCGGTTTTGTACAATTCGTTTTCGCAAAGCTTCCACTTCTTTGTTTCCGAGTTGAAAGGCTGTTGGTTAGCGCTTCGGAGATGTGTTGGAGCTAGGTGTCAGATCGTCGAACATCTCAGTACTCTGTCAGTTGTGTGCCTAGTTGTTGTACTTTCTGACTGTAGACAGTATCCAGTTACAGTGGCGGACAGTTACTCTTAGCTCGTATCCATATGCGCCTTTGCTTCAAAAGTTCAAAATTTGATCTATCAAAAGCTAGGATATCATCTTTTTATGAATGGTCACTGTACTGTAGCAGGATCCATTCACCATCATTTCATAAGAGAACATGCACGCTGTCAAACACAATAAACCAACCAAAGAGAATCACCCAATGCACAAACACACACACACACACACACACACACTGCGGCACACACACACACGTCACACGGGTGCACCTCATGCCCATGCGACAGAGGAGCAGACTCAGCGAGGGGTGAAATAGGAGATGTGACCTCGACATAATGGGAATGTCCTCACCATAAGACGTCAGATCTCGAGATATACGTATCTCCTTGAAAAAGGGCAGTGGGTTCAACAAAGGGTTGTCACCTCGACAAAGCGTTGTGACCTCGGCAAAGGGTTGTGACCTCGACAAAGGGCAGTGACCTCAACAAAGAGGTGTGACCTCAACATTGTCTGCTTACCTTCGAGATGGAATTGGGTTTCAAACAAAAACAAATGGTCACACTTGGCACGTACAGTGCATGGCAATAATTGGTACGTACGGTGTGCATGGCAATAAAGCACAGCCTGTACATTATGTATTTTAATAGAACTTTTTGTTCTGTTCAAACGAACGAATGAACAAACACTCAGTACCGTATTTTCCGGAGTATATGCCACACTTTGAACACTCAAATTTCACCTCAAAAAAGGGGTGTGGTTTATACTCTACTAAGATGATCAACTTAACAATGATAAAGAGGATAGATGTCTGTATTTCCTGGCAAAAAATAGGGGGGGGGGGGGTGCGGCTTATACTCCGGGAAATACAGTACATTCATTTCTCCATTTCACTATTCACCTACCCTCTCTTTCAGTTGGCTCAATGATCGGTCTTGATGACGAACGTGCGCGTCTTGGCCTTGATTTTGACCTGGTGGCATCAAGCAGCCCTGGCTTGGCCTTGCTCCGATTCACAGCTTGTTGGAGGTCATGCCTAGCTTGCTCTGCCAGACGCTTCTCCTCAGCAAGGCGGGCAATCTCCTTAGCACTGAAGCGAGCATTCTCCTCAGCAAGGCGAGCCTTCTCTTCGGCAAGACGAGTTGTTTCCAGGGCCGCAACACGATGGTGCTCTGCCTCTTCCTCCTTCAACTTCAGTGCTTTTTCCAACTCCTCATTCTTCTTCAGGACTTGTAGAAGTCTGGCCATCATTTCACTGACGTTGTTATCCGACTGAGTGGACGGTGTAGCTTTGCTCGCGGCCATGTCATCAGGTTCTAAAGAAAACAGCAATAGTCACATTGACAAAGAGGCGGAAACAGTGAAAAGAAGATTCTGTAAGAGTTGAATCTCTAACGGGGTACACAGTCCAGCTTTTCAACGAGAAAGAGTACATCGTTACCTCAAGAAATGTTACACGTGCGTTATTCCTTCTCTACGTTGCACTATAGAAATAGAAGATAGGTGGGTGCTGGCAGGGTCATTAAACTGTGTGCCCACTTAGTGGGAAAATTGGCAAATCGCTAAACTTAAAGTCTCGTTACACTTTCAACTCTTACAGTAATTATCAACAAGCCACATTAAAGGGGAAGTTAGGGCAAAAATTAAAATTTCACCAGTTGTAGTCTTCGGGGTGCTGAGTCGAATGGTCTTGGTCCGAGAAATCTGAGACGCTCCCTTCCTACTTGAATCCCAATCGAACTCGCGCACTTCCACCAAAACTGGGTGACTGCGCCCTACTAGATGGGGATTTGTATGCAAAATGTCACTAAAAGCGCCATTTCGTTCTTATAAAAGCACGGATGACCGCGATTGGCCCATATGTTGTAGTCTTTTGGACGCTGAGTTGACTGGTTTCGGTCCGAAAAGGCTGCGATGCAGCGTTCGCCCCTAATTCCCAATCGAACATGGTTGAACAAGCGGTCACGTGCTCCTGCGTACACCAGTCACCTGGTCACCGTGCCTGCAGGGTACAACTTACAGCCTGTTTTGACCTTTTTTGGGTGCAGTCCTGTCACTCGAGTTGAACTTTAGTGTGAAAGTTGTCGCCTGCTGGCGTGGTGACCAGGTGGTTTTGGCACCCAGGAGCACGTGACCGCTTCTTCAACCATGTTCGATTGGGAATAAAGGAGGAACGTTGCATCGCAGCCTTTTCGGACCAAAACCAGTCGACTCAGCGTCCAAAAGACTACAACATATAGGCCAATCGCGGTCATCCGTGCTTTTATAGGAACGAAATGGCGCTTTTAGTGACATTTTGCATACAAATCCCCATCTCGTAGGGCGCAGTCACCCAGTTTCGGTGGAAGTGCGCGAGTTCGATTGGGATTCAAGTAGGAAGGGAGCGTCTCAGCTTTCTCGGACCAAGACCATTCGACTCAGCACCCCGAAGACTACAACTGGTGAAATTTTGATTTTTGCCTTAACTTCCCCTTTAACAACAACACGAAGTATTATAAAAGAGAGACAGGAGGCAAGAGAGATGGGCGACTGAGTGAGTAGGCATCCATCTGGTAAGCGTCAAAGTTGCTGTCCCCCAACAGAGCTCGTTTTTTCACCACAGTTAGAGCCCTTTAACTTTGATACTTTACTTTTTGTCAGTTTAAAATGCTTTGTTGTTCACTAGACGTCATTGTGACTAGCTTGAGTGACTAGTCACTCAAGCTATGTTCAAACAGATAGCTATCCGGAGAGTGGACAAATATATACTGTATAGCAGGAAATTTTCGGACGGAATTTATTTTCGTACGATTTCATACACGGCCTCTTTTGTACTAAAATTAATTCCGTACTAAAATTTGTTCATGTGAAAATATGTACACTATACATGGGTACTGCTTGCGAACACGTGCATTTAGCATGCAGCACTGTACGAAAATAAAACCCGGACGAAAGGTCGAAATTCGGCTTTGTCCGAAAATATTTCCGTCCGAAAATTTCCTGCTATACAGTAGTTCGAAATAGCAACAAGGATGAACAGAATGAAGACTGCGCTCCAACTCTGAGTTTCAGGCATGAGGCTATCATACGACACTAGCTACTGGAAACTCTGGAACTTTTTTCTGGTTTTTACTTCGAAGTAGTACTGGATAGATCCCCGTTTCTTCACAGTGCTTGGCACAAAAAGGAAACTAAGGCAACAGAGAAAACGTGCTTCAGACTGGCCAGACAGCTGTTCATCCTCACTGGCCCTGGTCTTACCTTGGACTTCCTCCGCACTATGTCCGTGTGGGGTACTGACTGCACAAGCAGCAGCAGCAACAGATGCAGCCGCAGTGGGGGCACTGTGAGGCACTTCTGCAAGGTTGAATTCCATCGCCGGGAAGGGGTCAATTCCATCGTCATTACCTGCCGGCAATGACAGAGTCGTGATGTGAGGCCCACATTGTCCTGAACTAGCCATGTGCCTTGCCTCTCCAGACTGGTCACAAAGAACAACACAACACAATTACAAAGCGCAAGAAAGAGAACCCAGTCAGACCCCTGAAGAAAGGAAACCCAGAAAATATAATATTATAAGAACGTTCACACAGACACAACCGCGCGCCCGCACACACGCACACAAACGCACACAGAATCGCAAACACACAACACACAGACTCGCAAGCACACAACCCAGAGACTCGCAAACACACACACACACACACACACACACACACACACACACACAGGCCAGGTCAACTCACATCCGGTGTCATACGTCCAAGTAAATCCTCAATATCATTGTCGGATAGTATGGGGCATTCGTGCAGGCCTACACCGTGTGAATTCCACTGCTGCTGCTGCCGCAGCTGCTCATGCTGATTTTGCTGTTGCTCCTGATGCTGCAACTGTTCCTGTTGTTGTTGTTGCTGCTGCTGTTGTTGGCCAGCCAGAGATGACCGATCGTTTATCGGCAGTGAAACAGCTGTCTCGTTGGTAGCTACCACGCCAGTGTGTGACTTCGAGACGGCAGCATGCAACATGGAACCATTGTTGCGGCCGGGAGGCTGACTGTTGATGAAGGCTGTGTCCAATTCATCAGGCGGCCTGAAATTGTCCTGGGGTGATTTCAGCAAGCACAAAGGCAACGAGATATAGAGGTGGTTAGGAAACTTCTACAATGAGTTCATAACAAGTTCATAATAATTTTGACTTGGGATAAACTCATTGCCAAACGCATCGCAATGCCCAGTTAGCTGGGCCCAATTTGGGACATGGAAACAAGTCAGTATCTCATTCTGTACTTGTTGAGCGAGTTGTTATAAACGCCCCTTGCAAGAAGTGCACAGTTGTTCCGGTCTTCAGAAAGCATGCAGGATTTCTTTTCACTGCCTCAGCATCCAGCCCACCTCTGCCCATGGACACACACATGCACGTATGCACGCGCACGCGCGCGCACACACACACATGCACATACACACACACGCACATACACACACACACACATGCGCGCACACATGTAGACACCAAGGAGCATACAAAGTACCTGACTGTTAGGAACTGGGTGAACAGAGATGCTTGTGTTTGATCCAGGCATTACAGCATGTGCTGGTTTAATCATATGGTTGGCCACTGGCACAGTACCGACATTGAAGCTGGATCCACCTTCTTGGTAAAGACCGGATTGGGAAACCAACAGACGCCGGTCAATTTGATTCACATTAGGCAGGGCAGTGTCCGCATCGGACGCGCCACTCCCACTGCTTATGTTGTTGATGTTGTCGCTACTGCTGCTGCAAGAGAATGCAGCCGCGCTCACAGTATGGACTGTTTGCGGACCCTGAGTGCAAAATAGAGAGAGTACAGAATGCGACAGAAACAACACCACTGCTGCCTTGCTGGTAGCAAGGCGAAAACAAAACAGACGGACAGAGACACAGAGACACAGAGACACAACAACGATCGCTCACATACGAACCTGATTATGGGTGGTGTGAGGATCACTAGTGTTGGTGGTGGTATTGAAAGCCATTGAACCATTGCCATTGGTTTGAGCATATGGTTGAAATGGAGCTCCATTCACAACACCACCATTATTGCAAGATGCAGAGCCACCCAGTGGAAGTATTCTAGTTGGAGTGGTGTTGTTTGGTAATAGCCCCTACAAGGAATTGCATAGAATAATCACACGCAGAACACGCGACAATGTAGCCTTGAAGATGCGACCACTCACAATGCCCAGCCCCAATTGTCGTCCTCTAAAGGAATTAAAAGGCATTTGTGGAGATTTAAAAAAGACCTATGAAACTGTAGCTTCACGTGACCGCCAAAAATGATGCCAGGAACCTGTACGTCTCATGCAAGTGTCAATATTTTGACAAGTTCCACTTCAGTGTTAGGCAGCTAAGCACCAGGCGGCTGGGGGTTGCTTTCGGTACTCAAACACCCCCTACCCCCCCCCCCCCCCCCCACCACCACCACACACACACCACAAAAAACATTCCGACATGGCTTTAACTGATGTACCCATGCCGCTGAACGTGCTATGCCTACACCGTGAATCAGGGCTGGCCGGGGCATCTCGAATGAGTGCTCCACACACCTGCATCTGAGTGGAGAGCGGCAAAAAAATTCCCTGTGACAATGGGGACAGTGTTTCGCTGTCTGTTGGTGCTGTTTGATGGTGCTGTTCGATGGTGCTGTTCGATGGTGCTGTCTGTTGGTGCTGTTTGATGGTCGCTCAGCGTGTGAAACTTCAAGTTACAGTACAGCAGTCTACCTAGCCTCTTGTATTTCCGTGCCAAAATAATGTGGCAGCAACCCCTTCATACCAGAACCCACCTCAGGCCCGCGCATGCCAGTGTGGGAACTGACATCAGGGGAGAGGCGGGGGGAGGGGGGGGGGGGGGAGGTTGAAGCAGTGACCAATGGATTGGCATTAATGAACAGGGGGTGGGAACAAGCAAGGCCAGTGGCAATTGGATTTACTGAAAAGTACAGCGAGAGCACCCCATCACCAGGTCCTTCCCTGGTCGGGGCACTTTAAAGTGGCTTACCTGCGGGCCAGAAGATTGCATTGACATCGGCTCCAGCTCAATGTCACCAGCAAGGGTGGCAAGAGTAGCCGTTGGTCCAGAAGAGTAGCCCTTGTCAGACGAATCCATGCCATCCTCCATTGCCGTTCCTACATTGTCCTGCCCAAATGCAGCGCCAATGCCTGGCAGGGTGTACTGCTGACCAGCGACATTAAAGCCGTTAGAAGCAGTGCCGGTACAGGATGCAGGCAGCGCAGATGCAACCTGGACAAGACAAATACACGATAACAGCAGGAGAAAAACTCGTTTAACGGCTGACATTGTTGCACGATGCGGTGTAGTTATCAATTCAAAGTTTGGTCCCTTTCCCTCGCCGCAATATGAAATACGGAAAGGAGAAAGGATCGCGAGATGATGGGGTGGGAGATGATGGGGGTGGGAGATGATTGGGTGGGAGATGATGGGGGTGGGAGATGATGGGGGTGGGAGATGGTGGGGGTGGGAGATGGTGGGGTGGGAGATGGTGGGGGTGGGAGATGAAAGGGGTGGGAGATGATAGGGGCGAGAGATGATGGGGGTGGGAGATGGTAGGGGTGGGAGATGATGGGGGTGGGAGATGATGGGGGTGGGAGATGATGGGGGTGGGAGATGATGGGGGTGGGAGATGATAGGGGTGGGAGATGGTGGGGGTGGGAGATGAAAGGGGTGGGAGATGAAAGGGGTGGGAGATGATAGGGGTGGGAGATGATAGGGGTGAGAGATGATGGGGGTGGGAGATGATAGGGGTGGGAGATAGTGGGGGTGGGAGATGGTGGGGGTGGGAGATGAAAGGGGTGGTAGATGATAGGGGTGGGGGGGGGGGCTGCAGTATGAAGAAATTCCTTGCTCTCCTACATAAGAGTGTAATATGAGTGAGATAGTTCACCTCACAACGTGCAGACTGTGTAAAATCCGAATTCCGGCCACATTCTAAACTTGACGACACCTGCAACAACCCCCTGCATGTTTCTAAACTGGTCTGAACATAGCCCCCTGTTGTCGGTTGTCATGGCCAGATGGCTTGTTATCTCATAGTCCCTGGCATGATGGGCACTCGAGGGTTGATGCTAGACTAGTTGATACACGTCAGAGTTGTCAAACAAATCGCTACCTGGCTTAGTTCAGCAAGCTGGTTGGTAGCTTGTTGGTATTGCTCCGGTGGTTGCTGGTATTGCTCCGTTGGTTGTTGGTATTGCTCCGGTGGTTGCTGGTATTGTCGCTGCTGTTGTTGCTGTGCATGCAGCTGTTGCTGTTGTTGTAGCTGTTGCAGTTGTTGTTGCTGCTGCGGCAGCAGCTGCTGCACCTGTTGCGCTTGATATTGTTGCATTGGCGACTGCTGTACATGCGGCTGCTGCTGTTGCTGCAGGTGCTGCGCTTGATATTGTTGCATTGACCATGGCTGGTGCTGCAACTGTTGATGTTGCAGCGCTGCAGCATCAAATGACTGTTCCACTGCAGCCTGAGCACCTGGTAACGGTACATTGGTCCTGTTCACACAGTCCACGAAACTTTGACTTGACATGAAGCCACTCTAAAACAACAGCAACACAAACACCAGCATACAAATGTGTTTTCAAAATTCATTTTTCTTGAGTTCCTCTTACACGCCGGACAGAGGGAAGCAGCAACAGACATTCCACTCTTCCCTCTTTCATGAGAGTTCTCTAATTCACATGCGTGAACTATGCGTACTGGGCACGCTGTCAGCACACGCCTGCAGCCTGTTAGTTTGCCCCCCCCCCCCCCCCGGGTTGCTGACTCGGCTGCCCCGGCCCTGGGGTGGACACAGGACTGAGGTGTGTGGGTAGATTAGGAGAGTTGAACACTGGTCAACTATATCCTATCTCTGACCGGCCGTGGTTTACCGTGTGGTTTTGGACGTAATGCACGAACTGGTGCTGCCAAATGCCAACAGGAGAGATTCCAATGTTTCTATGAAAGGGAACAGGGGTGGGGGGGGGGAGATGTCTGAGGAAATATACGTGATGCAGTTGGCAAACATGTGTTCTGTCCTTCTTCTCCTTCTCTATCTGTCGGTTTGTCTGTCTGCTAGTCTCTCTCCCTCTCTCTCTCTCTCTCTCTCTCTCTCTCTCTCTCTCTCTCTCTCTCTCTCTCTCTCTCTCTCTCTCTCTCTCTCTCTCTCTCTCTCTCTCTCTCTCTCTCTCTCTCTCTCTCTCTCTCTCTCTCCCGCTAGCTCCCTCCCCCCTCCGTCCGTCCGTCCCTCCCTCCTTCCCTCTCTCTCTCCCTCTCTCTCTCTCTCTCTCTCTCTCTCTCTCTCTCTCTCTCTCTCTCTCTCTCTCTCTCTTTCTCTCTCTCTCTCTCTCTCTCTCTCTCTCTCTCTCTCTCTCTCTCTCTCTCTCTCTCTCTCTCTCTCTGTTTCGGAGAGCCAGTGAAACCGCCCTCACGAATAAAATACTTGACAAGCACTGAATACTGTAATTTCACACATTTTTAGCGTACTTTTACTTTCGCTACTTTCGGAGCATCTCTTTCATACCTAACATGTTTAATAGCTGCACATCGACCAGCACATTACCCAATAGACACTCCTTCTCCGTAGTTTTAAAAATTCCAATAGCCTCAAGAGCACTGACTTGCATCATCCAGTGGGGGACTGCTTACTAGTGTGTGTACCTAAATTTTCTGTTGGCCTAACACTCAATCTGCGGATAGAACTGTTTCGTCCTTTGTGGACTCATCAGCGCAGCGCAGAGAAAATAAGGCCGAACCTGATAGCAACAGGTTGATCTAAAATGTAGTTTTTTGGCCACATACCTAAACAGGAATGGGTTTGCCCCCACACTGGAGCTCGCGCTATTCCGCCGACGACTTGACACTTGACTGACTCACGACTGCCATCCAGAGAACACGAGAAGTCCATCGAACCAGCGAATCAGTGTGGGGGCAAACCCATTCCTAAACAAAATCATCGCCGAAGTCGCAACCTCTATTTCGTACATACCTAAACAAATAATTTTAATGTTGAGCACCTGAAATTTCTGAAAATGTATGCTAGTGAGTACCATCTTGCAGTCTTCGGCATATCAACACTTCACAACGAAAGTCTGCACCTTTCAGAGCCCTTTCACGAACGTAACACTTTAATAGTGTAGTTCGGAGGTTGAGGCTCAAGGCAAGACAACCTTATGGCATGTCCACGAAGGAGCGGACGGAGCACTCCAGAAGTCATAACAGAAACCCCATGGGGAAATGCACATACTGTAAATATACAAAATTTCGGCGCTGCAAAATTTCGGCACTTCACGATTTTTGACATTTTGGCAGCGATTTATTTTCAGCGTGGGGTAGAGGGCATGGTATAGTGCGACAGATGCTGTGAAAAATTTCATCAGCGTTTTAATTTCGGCGTTTTGGGTCGGTGCCGAATATACTTCCTCCGTTAACAAAAACTTCGTGATGGATTTTTGAGGGGCTGATTTGGGCACAAACCGCCGTGAAATGAGTCGCAATCACTTTCTTGGCCTTCCCTGGCATGCCATGAAAGAGGTACGATGCAAGGAGAGCGACCTTTCACAACAAGCCGAGCGGAATCGATGGTTGCGCTGTGGAAACTTAGGTGATGACAGTCATGGCGAGCGAAACTGAAATACCACTTCTCCGAGGGGTTATTGCGCTGCTTGGCCTCTCTACCACTTTAGCACTAAGTAAGTTGGAGAGCGGTAGAGAGTGATAAATCGGAGCAGCGAGCCCACAAAATGAGCGAGTGGACAAGGAGCTGCTCCGATCGCACGGCTCAATGAAAACAATTCTGAACTCAAGCTCTTGTTCAACCTGCGCAAAGCGCAGATTCGAATGCTGATGACCATGCATTATTTCAGAAGTATGCAGTCCGATACGAGTCTCATGGCTAAAGAAAGTCGACTGGACTTGCTAGCCGCTGCCGTTCAGTGCTGGCAGGGGTATCCATTAGAGAAAATGGAATCAGTTTGGCTCTGCCTTTACTCCTCGTTTCGCAGAGTTCTGGAGAACGAAGATGAAACCAGTCGTAAAAATATTTTTCACGACTCCCTGGTGGAAACGAGTAATCGCCATCGCGGCGGATCACGCAGCTTGAAAGCCAACTTACTTGAACGACGGCGACATCAAGGTCAGTGGAGTGTGATCAAAGAAGCCGAGGCAAGGCTGAAACGAGCTGATCAACGACTTGAGAGAGATGACGACTCGCGTGCAGCAGATGACGACTCTCGTGCAGCAGATGACGACAGCCACGCAGGTGAAAAATGAGTCGGGCGAAAGCGACGCAAACTGAACTCTCTGCTCATTCCGCCAACAGTTTCTCTTGTAAAGACTCTGTACACCGGATGAACTAGCTTCGTCCAGTGATTAGCAGTCGATACAAACTGTTCTTGACCTGTTCTAAGCGTTTTGATATCCATCAAAATCCATCACGAAGTTTTTGTTAACGGAGGAAGTAGCCGAAATTAAATAGCTGCCGAAAATTTGTATATTTACAGTAGAGACTTGTGACCGTAACGGTATCCACATCAGGACACGTGCTTACAGTTACACACTTGTGACTAAGCCACAAAGAACAACGAACAACGGCATAATGTATGCCTTGTTTGGTAGATTAGCATGTTCATCGGTCAATTCGGTTGTCAGGAGCACTGTTTTCAACACAGTGCGCATTCCGCCCGGTAACATGCTGTCAACCGATCAAGATAAACAACGGTATTATTATGGGTCGTCCTCCATGGCCCATACTACAGTACTACTAGTACATGGCAATAACTGTGCAGATAACAAGCAGCGTAACAAAAGTACCTGTCGCCGGCAGCGTGCACATGCCAGCAGTCTTCGGCTGTGCAGTTAAATTCTGAAAAGCGCCGGCAACAATCTGGGGTGAATTAATCCGTCCTTTCTCTTCGCAAGATTAGCCCAGGAACTGCCAGGAGTGTGTTCCGCCATCACTCCAAACTTTTAGAATTAATAGCGCACTGTACTGCACCACAAGCTAGTGGAAAATGATCTTTAGGCACCCGAGGTGGCAGTGGACATATCTGTAATTATTCTAAAATCGCGGTGACAGATGATTCCTGGAACATACCACCGTGGGGCCAGGGAAATACAACTCCGGTGGAGAGGACTACAATGCTTGACAGTTTCTTGTTCACTCAAGACAAAGAGCTAGAGCCTAGAGGAAGAGATGTTTCGTGCGCATGCGTATATGTGTGTTGGTGAGTGATTGACGTCATGGCAGCGAGATCGCTACAGATCCACCGCCCCCGAGAGCTCACTGGCTACACAAAGTTGGGGAAACCCAGTGGCGTATCCGGAGGGAGGGGGGAGTCCGGGGTTCCACGGAACCCCCTTATTTTTTGCAAATGTTCAACCAAAAAAACATCGAAAATGTCATGCGTATGCAAGAGGACAATCAGTCATGTCGACATCCGGGCGATCCGTCCGATCAAAGTAAGTGCAGTCATGTAGATCTAGAATCATTAATTTTTGTACTGAGTAGATCTACATGATCGTACTTACGTCACGACTACTTCGAGGAGAATCGTCATGCTGTTTTGACCCGCTAACTTTTCACACTTGTAGCGTGATGTGTATGTCCCTCAATTCTTTGCCCATATGAATTGCTGTGTTAGTCATTTTTGTTCCTTTATCCCCTGTAAGAGCCTATGAAGAGAAGGGAAGGAAAACGTTCGTTTTTACATTTCCTAAGTGTTCGGTTGGACTGGCGTGGATTGCGGAGATGCATATACCAGCCAGTCTACAGCATTGAAGAATTGTAGACGCTTCCAATTTGTTCTACAATTTTGAAGAAACTCTGAAACAGATGATTATTCGGCTGTAGTCGAGCCTCTAAAATTCGAAGAATGTGAATCGATGACCAGTCCTTGGCGACAGATGACCAGGAAAGTGCCACACAGCTAGTACAGGGCAGTTGATTTGATTTGCGACCCAACAAGGCAAGAACAGGACGAACGCTGGAAATACAATGGGCAGCATGTACACGTACAGTACTATATGAAGAGAACAACAAGGACAATCAAGGCTTGTTTGCTGCCTGATGATTGCGAGAGCATGAAACTTCAAGTCGCAGCAAACAAGTCTTGATTGTCCTTGTTGTTCTGTTTTGTATTACGCTCTGCCTCCGCCATGGTGTTGAGCACTGTCAGCACACTGGGTACACCCTCGCTCCGGTAAAGTACAGTATTAGATAAACCTTGTTTTAGTTCACACATGTTGTTGTTGGTATGACAGCAGTAAGGTGACTGTGTTCCGAACACGGTGTCCTCCATCTTGTTTCATGCTGTCAAACCAACAACAATACAATCATGTATATGTACAGTCGTCGGAGACACAAAGAAACGCCAGCGTTGGTGTGATCACTGGGAAAGAGATGGCTGCCATGTCCATCAATCCTTTCTCTGGGTTAGACCATACAAGTGAGTCCATACTGATAGTTTTACTCGGCCTAGGCTTTGTTTTATTTCGACTCCCACTGCCAAGAGTATACCCTTTCTACTCTTGGTAGATCTACTACAGTACATGTTCTTG